TGGCTAAGAAGGTAACATTGCATCATTTGCTCACTGTAAATACTGTTCAAAAAGCCGTAATACGTAACCGGAACGAAACGAATTTCGTGGCACTTGCGCTTATACTGCGGACCCCCTCAACTGAACGAATTTCGCGATGAATTTCATCTCAACACACGTTGATGTCAGCCTGTGTACACGTCAAGTTCGAGTTCTGACGTCCACCCACTGCGACTGCCGTTGTTGTCTTGCTCTTTTACCCAGCTGCACAGGTGCGGTGCTTTCAGTATCCTTTCGAGCTGGATGCCTTCCAACAGGCTGCCGTTGTTTGCATGGAGAAAGGGGAGTCAGTTTTTGTTGCTGCTCATACATCAGCAGGAAAGACCGTGGTCGCTGAGTATGCAGTGGCTCTATGTGAGCATCACAAAACTCGGTAAGTATTGTTTTCTATGAACTATAACATCCAAGTTATAAGGACTGCTCTTAATGAATATCCAGTACTGTGCAATCGGCCTAAGGTAAGCTTGTGAACTCGCCACTAATAAAATTAACTTTGTTTTTTTTCAAGCAAGGAAGATTTATTTCTAGCTGAGATTTCAGAGTGATTCTCTATTTTCAGGGCTATTTACACATCTCCTATAAAGGCGTTGTCGAATCAGAAATTCCGAGATTTCAAGATGATGTTCACTGATGTCGGTCTGGTTACCGGTGATATTCAACTGTTCCCTGAAGCTTTCTGCCTCATCATGACCACGGAAATCTTGAGGTAATCGCTGCGAAGAGGAGAACTCATTGTGGTGATAAGAGCTGCCATGCCGGTACTCCGCTCTAGTTTAGTTGCATTGAAGGCAGAATTTTCGATGAAAGTTAGCTCATTGGAAATAAGGGTAGAGCTGGTCAGTGGAGCAGGGATGAAGAGAAACCATGTGAAACGGCCCAGAACCCGCTAAATGGGATCCCTTCTTTGCCCGTTGATTTCCACATTGATGCGACTTGCACCGCTGTGCTCTCGTCAACACTGCGCTCTCTCTGCTACCTAATCACTCACAACGTATAGACCTGCGGCGAGTGGTTAGATAGTCGGTGGGCGGTACCAGCCAAC